CATCCAGCAATCTACAGTATAAACAGACTGGGGTGGCGATTTCTGGCTTAGTAGTTGTCGTTTTCCAAGCGTGCTCAACCCTAGGTTTGGACTACCGGGTATTCTATTTCGAATTAATTTATCGATGAGCGTTTTTAAGAGCGATGAGACACGGCCCCCTTTTCTTGTCAGTTGTAATCGAGAATTCTAACAAAATGCAGAAAGGGCGTTCACTGATCAGACATGCTCACTCCGTTGACTCTAGAGACAGTCTACAGACATCAATATCGATTTAGAAAGCAATAAGGGCTTGGGAAAGCGAAAATCGGATAACCATTTCCGGTTTTTCGGCCGTACTACCTAACACACGACAGCTTAAACCTCGACTCGGCCAAGAGGACTCAAAAAAGGGAAAGTGATTGTCTATTTGTGTATCTTAATAATCGCAATATTAACGCACGACAGTTGGACCGTCTTTTTTGACAACGTCCACCGTGTGCTCCAAGGGATGGTGGTACGTGGACGCTGACTTGCGCGTGAATCGGTTTGAAGTGGTAATAGACGTGCGTTGCACTTATCGCACTCTCTTCCCCCATCTATCTGCGTCCGGTGTCAAGACAAAGTCAAGAAGAAGACCGGAGACTGGATCGGACGCAATTGGCTGAGACAGCGTGAGGCTGCACTTACGCGTGCTACCACGTCCCCTCCCCTCCCCCCCACCCCACCCTCCATGTTCGGCATTAGTTATGGTCGCGAAACGCGAATAACGTCTATCGTGCACTCATCTGGCCCCCGTGTTGGTCCAACGTATCTATCAAGTGACCATGGTATGGGACACAAAGGCAATATGAAGACATTTTTACAAAAGGCTAGGCTGAAACAGAGGTCACCGTCCCTACACCACCCTATTATGGAGCATACGGTGGACATCATCGAAATCGACGGTCGCACTCTTATACCGAAAACTATACAACATGGAACTGAATAAGTCCGAAGAAGACGTAAAAACCTAAAAGTACTAGCAATCCCTGTCCAGGAAGCATAGAGACATGAATAGTTTATTTAGAAAGGCCTAGTGGGCTGCCACAAACCATAATGCATGAGATTTCCAGCAATAAAGAACACGAAGGTTGAGCCAATTTCAAAATAATCAAATTAGAACAGAAAAAAGACTTACTCAACAATTTTGATGACACTCCAGCTCCCGTTTACTTTCTGAAAAAGAGCGCGGTTCAATTTGAAAGGATCTCCTCACCTGGAAGAAGGCATCGATGATTACTGGGACGATCGACACGAGAGCACTCTCGATGTAGGCAGTGGGACACAACCGAACATACGGTATGACAACGTGGTCTGGAGTAAAAGTGTTGAGGTTAAGGGAAAAATGTGCACGAAACAGGCACGGGGGGTTGCAGACTAAGTAACAGTAAGTAATAGCATGAAGAGAACGATGTTGAGTTTGCACTCGGACATCGGCAGGCTGATATCAATTACGCCGACGATATTGCCCTGCTGGCCTCCAGTTTTGATGATCTACAGTCAGTAGGGCCACGGGTAAATAAGATCGCTACATCGGTTAGCCTGTCCGTAATTACTGAAAAGACCAAATTATTCTCGAGCTGCATCCCTGAGCAGAAAGAGGCACCCCTGGGGATTAATGGCCGTCAAATTTAAGAGGGAGACAGCTTTGAATACCTTGGGGCGAAGCTTCTGTCGAATGAATAAAGTAAGGACAGCATTTTCTCCCGAATCACTGTTGTTCACCGGGTTTTCTCAATCATCCGAAATCGCCTACGGATCCGACGCGATATCCCCATCGCCAAGAAGATCCGTGTGTACAGTGCATCCATCAGGTCAGTCCTCCTCTATGCATGTGAATGCTGAGGTTTGGACGTTGCAGATGACCAGAGGCAAGATGTATTTGATCACCGCTGTTTGAGGACAATACTTCGAGTGAAGTATACCGACTTTTTCTCAAATGAAACTTTCCACATTCGCTGCAAGAGTGTCGCGAGGATGGCTCAGGCCGCCCAAGAAAGATGACTGAGGTGGTTTGGGCGCGTTCTCCGTCGTCCACCTCACGAGCTTTGTTTTGCTGTCCTAGATCCGGCGTAGCAGCCCACCTGGAGGCGCCAAAGAGGAGAGCAACTCAAAACTTGGCTCAACACCACTCGTGAATACATGGAAACAGTTCTCGAACCTTCGGTTTTCGGGCTCCATCGCTGAGAAAGAGACTGGGTGGAGCTTTCTAGATCGGCTGCCGCCAATAGTCACGTGTGAAGAGGTACCGCCTGTGACATAATTGAGGTCGGCTAGATCAGGCATGAACACAGCCGTATCAAGTACAAGTAAACAGGAAGTTTAAGAGGCCGTCACAGGCGATACAACCAAACCCGGCAAAAATCGTGGTTGTGTTCTAGGAACGCGGCACTGCAAAAGGGGGGGGAGGAATAGGCAGGAAAGTTAAGGGCTACGTAATGCTAAAGGATACAGAGTAGGTTGAACAGGCGATGATCCGGCAGATTGTCCACTTCCGCACAAACGTAATTGCAGATGAGAACAGACAGGTGTTCGCTTGGAATGGCGTAGAAGCACAAAGCAGTGCCATCAATGAGCAAGTGTGTGAGCAGAAGAAGTTCACTAGTCAGTTTTGAGAAGAAGGAGCGTATGCCGTCCAAGTAGCCGTGGGACACCGCATTCACTTTGACCAGAGCCTATAGTGGGGGAAGACAGAGGACATCGACTAGAGACAGGAGGACACCAATAGCAAGCCCAAACAGGGTCTGTCATGTGCGTCAAAGGAAACCGACACAATCAAAGGCTTGTGACAAGACGTCAATTAGAAGATGCTACTGATAAAATGCTTGAGTAGTAGTGACCGAGTTATGTAAAAACTGAGTAGCACTGCCGAGGTGGTGTCTAGAAAGTAACCAGTTGACAATAAACAGGGAAAAGGCGAACGTGACAAGAACTTAATTCGGAACGTTTCGAAATCCGTCGGAGATCCATCCTCAGAGACAGTAGCAGAACACTTAACAGCCGGAAGTAATTCCAAGCAGGAAGGGGTAAAATACACTTTGTCAGTTTTCTAGAAGGCGACTTGAGGCAGGACGATGAAGAGTAATTTAGACAGGCAGACAAAAAATTAAAAAGACCACAGTATGCGACTACATCATAATCATCATCAGTCAACTTGTCTATGGGTTTAACACTTGACAACTTTTGACACAATTTTTCTTGCGCAAATTAAGACTGTGACTTAACTTCTGTAGCAGACTGCGGCTAAAACTCGCGAACGCTAGGAGTCTACACGAGACAGCACGGTGGAGGCAAGAGAACGAGAGGGGGCGATCCGGTTGCCAGCATGAGCGTTCGAACGTAGTCAAGCTACCATTCCTGGCGGCAGTATTTGTCAAAAAGGCTACGCGAATTAGAAGACTGAAGGTGGAAGAATGCGAGTTTAGCGTCCCACTGTGCCGATGCGTCAGGTTGAAGTAAGCAGGATCCAATTTCGATTGGACGCTCTTAATTGATCATACCGGGATAGATAGGGAAGGAGAGAGGGGGTTGACGCCGAGAGGCAGACGGATACTGTCCCATATTGCGCCCAAAAACGTGCACAGGCTCGGCAACAGACGCAAATGCTTGGATCTTGTATGTGTGAAGGACCGACTAACAGAATAAGATGCTTTGCTCGCCGTACGGCATGCCACTGATGCACGGCTGTTTAAAGCCACGGTCGGCCGCCCACGCGCCACGGTGAAAAAAAAAACATTCCAGCAACTACAGTGGAACCTCAGTCAACAAGTTTAATCCACTCCGGCAACCAGCTCGTCATGTGAGACACACGTCTTGCTAAACATACCCAATCAAAATGTATCCGTTCACTGATTGGCTGCAGCTGACTGAGGGTCTACACTCTGGAATCAAGACTCAACGGCGGACACAGGCACACACTGAGCAGAAGCTCATCAATCGACACATATTTCCTACCAGTGACACGCTCGTTAACTGAAATGTTCGTAGATGAGGCTACTTGTCACCCGAGGCTCCAGTGTA